CTTATGATATACTTTCCCACCATTTTTATTGAGAAAACCTGCTAGATGAAGGCTGTAACAGAGATTTACTAAACACAATAAAATATCCTGAGTCTGTGGAAATGTCTTATGGGTTAATAAATAGAACAGACTGTCACAGTTTTGGGATTAGTGTGTCCAGCCATGACTTTAAGAGTGAACACTCTTAATGACCTTTGAAGCATCATTCTGTCTTTTGTGATACTATTGAGTCAGGAAATAGCCAGGGGAGAGGAAACTCCAGAGGAGCCCCAGGACTAAGACAAAGGACATTGGTACAGAACAGAGACCCTATTCTAACACCAGCTGTTGCTGCTTTCTGGAAAAGTGCTGAATCACAGTGAATCATGATTGCACCTCGGCAGAAGATGCTACATGACCCATGCTTCATTATAATAGCATTATAATAAATTAGCATTGTAGATCCCTCTGGAGAGTCGTAGAGGTGTGGAGACATGGAGCAGCATGGACATGCAGAACAAGTGATTCCATATTCACATGTGGTGAATAAAAACAGGGAGGGATACCTTGGGAGCAAAAGTTTCTGGTCCCACACCTGACCACCCAGTCCATGGTTCCAGCGCCGGGAAGATAAGTCCCCATTACTTCTGGCTATAAAAATCAGTGGGGGTTGGGGCAGTTGGAAGAAAGTGTGAGATTCTCAGGAGACCCCTCTTAAAAGACCACAGCAGATTTAGGACTTATGCAGACTCACTCCCTCTGTGATGCAGCACCAGGGCAATAGCTAGAAGGGCACCAGTGTCACACGAGGAGAAACTGAAGTGACTGGTATCAGGGTGAATGTTGGGAGACAATTCCATCCTGGGAAAAACTCCTGAGGGCAGGCAGTGGCAATGTCCCCTCTCCAAGCCCTCCCCCCACACAGAGCCACAGAGCAGTGACACAGATTACCCCTCCTGGCAATTACCTAAGGCTCCACCCCATACAATCTATAGGTACATTTTTCTACCACAGGCCATGCTACTAAGACACGGGGTCAAAGCAGCTCTAATACACAGAAACAAACACAGAGAGGCTGCCAAAATGAGGAGACAAAGAAACATGGCCCAAATAAAAGAACAGAACAAAACTCCAGAAAAAGAACTAAACAAAATGGAGATATCAGATGCAGAGTTCAAAACACTGGTGATCAGGATGCTCAAGGAACTCACTGGATACTAAAACAGCCAAAAAAAGACTCAGGCAGAAATGAAGGTTACATTAAGTGAAACAAAGAAAAATCTACAGGAATCCAACAGTGGAGGGGATGAAGTCGAGAATCAAATCAATGATTTAGAGCATAAACAAGAAAAAAACAATCAAACAGAAGAGGAAGAAAAAAAAGAATTAAAAAAAACAAGGATAGGCTAAGGAGTCTATGGAGCATCTTCAAATATATCAACACCTGAATCACAGGGGTACCAGCAGGAAATGAGGAACAAGAAATTGAAAACTTATTTGAAAAACAGTGAAAGAAAACTTCCTTAATTTGGTGAAGGAAATAGACATACAAGTTCAGGAAGCACAGACAAGTTGGACCCCAAAAAAGACCATATCAACACATCATCATTAAAGTGCTAAAGATTAAAGATAAAGACAGAACCTTAAAAGCAGCAAGAGAAAAAAGCAGAGAGTTACCTACAAAGGAATTCCCCTAAGACCATCAGCTCATTTTTCAAAAGAAACTTTGCAGGCCAAAAGGGACTGGCAAGAAGTATTCAAAGCTGTGAAAGGCAAGGACCTATAACCTAGATTACTCTATCCAGCAAAGCTATCGTTTAGAATGGAAGTGCTGATAAAGTGCTTCCCAGACAAGGTAAAGCTAAAGGAGTTCATCATCACCAAGGCCTTATTATAAGAAATGTTAAAGGGACTTAAGAAAAAGATCAAAATTGTGAACATTAAAATGGCAACAAACACACAACTATCAACAACTGAGTATAAAAAAATAACAACAAACTAAGCTAACAAGCAGAACAGAAACAGAATCAAAGGTACGGAGATCATTTGGAGGGTTATCAGTTGGGAGGCAGAAGGGGAGAATGGGGGGAAAGGTGTAGGGTTTAAGAAGCACACATTGGTAGAAAGAAAATAGAAAGGGGATGGAGTAGCCAGAGAACTTATATGCATAACCTATGGACATGAACTAAGGGTGTGGGGGTGGCTGGAGGGAATGGGCGTCCAGGGTAGAGGGAGCAAAGGAGAGAAATTAGGACAACTATAATAGCATAATCAATAAAGTCTACTTAAAAGAAAAGAATAGAATCCCTTTGGCCACTGGTTGTCAATCTTTGCTCAGAATTGACCCTCTCCTATGTTCTGTGGAGTATATTATCACTTAATAAACATGCTTTCTCCCTTTCTGCTATAAACTGGCTGTTCAGTTCAATTCATTGTTTGTGATCACCAAGAACCTGGTCACCTGTGCCCACCTGAAGCACTATGATCATGCATCGATACCTGTCAATTCAGAAAAGCCATTTTCAGTTCATAAGTTTATTTGGTGAGGAAACACTTTAATATGTTAAACAAAACAAGTAAACTTTTTTCCTCTGTATTGCCTCTGCCAGAAGATTTCAACAGTAATAGCTCTGTGGAGACAGCCTTTACAGCAAATTCTAAGATGGTTTAGTAGGACTAGAATCACAAATGTGATAAGAGCGGTAGCTGTACTGATATTCATAAGAGCTAGGGTAGCACCGCCAATTAGGTGAATTAGCAGGTGGCCGGCAGTAATATTCGCGGTAAGGCGTACAGCTAGTGCTATAGGCTGAATAAATAAGCTAATAGTTTCAATGATAATTAATATTGGAATTAGTGGTAAAGGAGTTCCTTGTGGGAGAAAATGTAGATGAAATGTGCTTTTGAAGGATAACTGGAAGGTAATGCCCAATGAACAACTCATTCACACGGACTGCAGCCATGTTTATGGACATGATGGGGAATGTTCAACTGAAAAGTATCTTTTTACATTGTATAAATGACAGAAGAAAACCTGCAGGAGAAGACAGTTCAGCCATTACTGGTTCATGGATGTACAGAAAGGCAATATTTCTAAAGTATCAATAAGTAAACAAGATTTTCGTGCCAGTTAATCTTTACTTTTAGAGCAATCAACTCAATTTTAAAATCAGCATATACTTTTGCAGGAAGTACCACTTTTTTTATATAACTAGTGGAAGGCTGACTTCCCCCCGCACTTTCAACATCATGAATCAACTTGCCACTGCTTCACAAGATGATAGAATTAGTGAGTATATTGTATTGTCCGCCCCCAAATATTCAGAAATAAATGTATCTTATTAGTTTGGCTTCTATTCTAATTATTTTGAAGAAATAAAAAAATATTTACTCAAGCATTTAAGATCAAACAACAGAAGGGCATATAATTACATATTATTCTACATATTTGTTTATAGATGGTCATGACATTATCTAAATGCGAGCAAGATTTGGTTAATGTGGAAGAATACATTGTACTAAGATGACTCAACAAATAGAAAAAATACACATTTCAACCAATACAAATATATCTTGAACATCTATAATATGAGACAGCATGTGATAAATAAAATCTTGTCTTATCCACCAACACTTCAATGCCAAAGGACAATGTTGAGATGCTGTCCTTAATTTGAACTGAGATAACTTCTCCTAGATTTACTTCTCAGAAAATGTTAGCAAGTAAAATATAAATTCCTTTCATTATGGTCTATAGGTTAAATAATAGCTAAGAAAACCTAACCATCTTGTGATTCAAATGGCTTGTAGAACAACTTAAGTTGTATCTGTAGGATTATAAATGAAGAACTATAACCCCTAAGAATCAAACCAGCAGGCTCACGTACTTGTTGATTAAATTGACAAATTACTCAATACGGCCAAAAGCAATAAAAAAGACTAACATCCAAACCATTTATCTTTTCCTTTTTAACTCTCATTTTAAAGAATATTAGAATTAGGAGGCATAAAAGTATTTATTCAGCAAAATATGTCCAATGGCTTTCTATCATACTTAGAATAAAATATCAATACATGAACATAGGCCCCTAAGTCACCTGGCCCCCAGCTACTTTCTCCTGTCACCTCTCACCCATCGCCCTCACAATCACTGCACTCCAGATGGCAGCCTCCCTGCAGGTCCCAGAGTGCACCAGGCACATTCAGGATGCTGGTTGCTCCCTTTGCCTGGAATGCTTTCCCTGGGCTTATCTTCACTCAGATCTGTGTAAATATTACTTTCCCATATAAAACTGCATGATGACTGTACCTAATGAAACTTTCATTGCTCTCTATTTTTTTAATAGCTCATATCACTACCTAATATAATAATTCATTTTCTCCATCTCATCCCACTAAAATAGGCAAGAACTTGCTTTGTTCAATGATGAACCCCCCCAGTGTCAAGAACAGTGTCCGCCACATATAGAAGTGCTCAGTAAATATGGAAAATCAATAAAAGAATTAAAAAATCTACTTAATTCACAAATTTGGGGTTGTGTATTATGGGTCAGGTACTCTAAACTCTGGATATGCAGATATCTACCATCATCTCCACTCTCAGGAATCTAAGTAGAAGGTAGAGACACAAATTTGTAAATAAAACGTTATATACTTTGAATACACTGAAAGAATAGTATCTTAGGACAGAGAAGGCTTTTGCAGTCTCAGTGGACTAAAAATAGACCACTCTTATTTATATTAGATCACTGATGACCACAACCAAATGTGTTCTTAACAGGAGAGGTAGACTACACCCAATTAAAAAGAGAACAGGTAAGGAACAATCTTCACAATTTTTGAAGAACTGATTTACTGAATAGCATTTTTGTTCTAAAAAATTGAAAGATTAATATTAGAGAATTCTAAGTGCTATTAACCTTTTCATACAAATACATACCATATATACTTTATACTTTTTAGGTTTATAACTAGTAAATTGGCATAAAGCTAAATTAAAAGAAGTACCAAACATTCCTTACCTGAATTTCGAAAGTCATTCTGTCGATCTCATCGCGTTGGCTATCTATTATCTAAAACACAGTAAATATCTTAGTCTGAATCAAAAAATTTCCAAAAATATCAGTATTTCAACAAAAAAGCAAAGATGATCACAGGCAATTCTAATTTTTTTAAAAATCAGGATGTAAATTTTTTAATAACAGTATTCATACCAACTATCCTTTAAACAGCCACATGATTTGAATCACACATATGTAAAATTATAAACTTCCTGTACTTCTTGACAAAAATTTTCTATAATGCAACTTATAAAAATACCTTTGGAACAGACTTTGAATAATTTAGGAAGGAAAAAGATATCCTTTTGATTTTGCTAAGAAGTAATATAATTTCCTGAGTTTGGTTTTTATTTAAATTTATTTAAATTTTTTTCTTTTTTCTAAATAAAGATATTCAAACCAAAATTTCCATCAGCTATTAAATACCAAAATTTCCATCAGCTATTAAATGTTAGCAAGAATAAAAAGCAACTATGAATTATTTATCTAGACACACATATCCACATAGTATAGATTTCATATTTGTTATCAAAGACACCCACTGACCTTGCCAGCATTTTCATTTTGTTCTCTCAGGTTATCGTTTTCATTCTGAAGCTGTTTTGCATCTAACATAGGAAGGCGAATTCCATCTTCAAGGCATCTTTCTACCTTTTGCTGCAAACTGTTTTATAAAGACAATTATATAAAGAAAATAAGCTCTATGTGCTGACTTTGGTAGAAGACTTCAACATAAATGAAGCCCCTACTTAGTCTATAACAGTTTTTAGTTAGGCAATAATGAAGACCTACAGATGGTATATGAATAAGTTTGAGTACCTCTATTTCATGCAAGTAAGAAATATACAGGAAGCTGATTACATTTTCAGGAATGAGACCAGAGTCGAGTTGCTCAGTATGTGACAGCTTTAGGCCCCCATTACCCCAGTCTGAGCTCTACAATCTAAACCCTCTTCTCCCTACCTCTCCCCGCCAAAAGCAGAGCTACTTGGTTAAGATGATTGTGGTAGGGAGCCTAGGATTATGAACACACATCGTTGCCCTCCATTCTAAGCTCAAATAAGTTTATAAAGATAGTTAGCTGTTGCCTAAACCAGCAGAATTACATTTCTCCTTCATTAATTACAGCAGCAATCTATTATACGAGGTCTGTTCAGAAAAAGGCCAGCCATTGTTAATATAATGAGAACGGTTTGCATGACATAGATGTAACCTGGCAGCCCAGGGGAGTGGACTGGAATGCACAAACATTAACAATGACAACTTCACTGGACTGCTCAGTGGTAGATGCTATTGAGTGTGCATGTGTACTGTCGCGTTCAAAATGACTGAACATGTAGAGCAATGAGTCTTTATCAAGTTTTGCATAAGACCTCAACATTCCTCTGCAGATTCTATTAGGATGACTCAGAAGGCTGCAGCTATGGGCAACTGGTGATTGGCAGCTTCTTCGCCACAACACACCTGCTTGTGCATCATGTCTCATGCAGGGTTTTTTTGGGGGGGAGCAGAAACATTAAATCACAGGGTCCCTACAGCCCACATTTGGACCCTGTGATTTTCTGGCTTGTCCCCAAACTAAAATAACCTTTGAAAGGGAAGAGATTTCTGACCATCAAAGAGATTCAGAGAAGTAGGATGGGGCAGCTGATGGTGACTGAGAGAACTGTGTGAGGTCCCAAGGTGCCCACTTTGAAGGGGACTCAGGCATCATTGTCCTATGTACAATGTTTCTTGTATCTTGTATCTTCTTCAATAAATGTCTCTGTTTTTCACATTACGTGGATGGCTACCTTCTGGAAAGACCTCGTATTTATTACTTGACCTAACAGTTTCTCAGGCTATCCATGGAACACAGTTGCGTTTTAGAAGAGGAAATGACAAAAAGACACTCCAATGTCTTAAGGATAGAAGGATAAAGGAGGGGATAGTATTATCCTTGAGAAAAGAAAAATAGCTATATTTGGGTTAAAAGGAACTATACCATTTACAATACTGACAAAAAAATTCAGCAGCAAGATACCTAGGAATAACTCTACTTTAGCTTGTGATCATACTCAAGAGTTGCCAAGTACTAAGAAAAAAAAAACAGACTTCATCTTATATGGGTTTTGATATTTTCATTATTTTTCTTCTTTCAAGTATTATGGCTATCCTGTTTTCTCTGCCTTTCAAAAAAAATAAATTAAAAAAAAGAAAAGGGAGCCTTTGAGATCTTCCTTCCAGACAGTGCCCACAGTTGGGTTCAAATAAACACTTATTAAAATTCAAGAAGAAGAAATACCACATCCAGATAGTGGACAAAGAACTGGCAGCATGAATGACACCATCGGGGCCTCAGATGTGTGGTAAGGGATGGCACCAGAAGAGTTTTAATGCATCATAAATGCAGCGCATGGCTTTGGAATGTACTGCTTGTCATAACAAGTGTTCTAATAGTTCTCCTGATCAGCAAAGGGACCAACTATTGCATTACTAGGGATCACACCCACATATTTCCTTACATTTTCATTTCTAATGGAAAAGCTTTCTTAGTTTATTTTGAAATCTCAAAAGTTCTTATGTAGTCATAAAGCAGGGAACTTAGAAACATCATACAAAACAGAAAACTGTAGTGGTATAATTCAAAGTCACATATACACCTCTCCTGGAGCTGAAGGAATAACTGTATCATACAGCTGAGGAGACTGAACTAACACGCCTGCCCCAAAGTCAAGTGACACTATGGCCATACAAGTATTGAAGAATTACAGAAGACCTTCTTTGGTCCTTTGCATCTGTTTGAAATTGAGAAAAGTTTTCTGTGATAGTATCTCACAGAGTATTGAGATAAATTTAAGAAATGGAAAATGTATTCTGAAATGCACTGTACTAAGTCTTCCCAAATAAAGAATACTAGAGTCAACGTTCCCCAAAAAGCTAAAAAAGAGAAACTCTAGATAAAAAAGAAGGTATAAAATCATATTAAATATGTAAAAGCACACAATGGAACAAAACAAACATTCAGATTATTTTCAGGGGTTCCTAACTCTATATTCATAAAACACAGCTTGAATTTATAATCATAATGCCCTATAAATCAGAATGGATACATTACCTCATTTTATCAGTAAGATGAAAGAAAAAAACATATGGCAGAATTAGTGGAAGTCAGAAAGCTATTTTAAGATGTGTGCTAAAGTTCCCTTAAAGAGAAGGAAAGCAGGAAATAGGAGAAAAGGTGGAGTCAAAAGTATATGAATTTTTGGGAGTTAGGTTAGAAGCACTGAAGACTGAATTAACCTAGAAATTGGAATTTTCTCTACTGAAATCCAAAATAAGAAAGTAGGATGGGCACATTTGATTCTGAAAGTAGTAAAGCAATATTAACATGAAATTTACTAGATGCATTTTAATTAAACAGCTGAGAATATGCAGGGTTATATATCACTGGTATATGCATGAAGAGTATATTCCTTAAATTTAGTTTTTTGTTGCTGTGTTGTCTCATTCTTCAGAGTATTTTATTTATTTATGACTGATAATCTATTAAGTTTTACAAACAGACAGTATATGTACATGTATATATAACATAGTTATCTAGGTTTTTCATGAATCCAGTATTCCTAGCTTAAATACTAGCTAAATATACTAACAAATGATATTCACTGTAATTCTAACTGCAGTGGTTTAAACCAGAGGAGTCCCATGAGGCCAGATGTGTGAGTAAACCTGGAAGGTACGTAGCCAACAGCCCAATCTGTCCCTCCACAGTGAGGTGCAATGGGGGCTGATTACTTCCCTTGGACATAATTCATTAAGGACTGTAGTCTGAGTATTTGGCTGCCCCTCTTTCTGTTATTTAGAATTTTTACTTACTTATTTACAAATCCATTAGATAATTTTTTTTTTTACTGTTCTCATCTAAAACCTTTGGCAAGATATCAGTGTGCTGCAACAAAATGTTAAATAACAACTGAGACAATCTGTTTTGATGATACACTGCTTCTGCTTCTTAATACGACATCTTTAAGATAAGAGGAACACAGAATAGTAATTGTAAGTTAATGTATTTCAAGTAAAATGCTTTATGAAAAATATAAATAAGTTGGACTTCTGGCCAAGACAGGAGGTATGGGTAGATACACTTAGCCTCCTGAAACAACGAGAACTGCCAGATAATCAAACTGTATGGAAGTCTAACAACCAAGGAGTTAAAGAAGAAACATTCATCTAGACTGGTAGGAGGGGTAGAGATGGGCAGCCAGGGTGGAGAAGACTTGCAGCAAGGTGGTGGCTGCCAGGGCGGGCAAAGTGCTGGCTGAAGGAACAGGTAGTCCCATGTTTGTATGTGTATAAGATAGAGAGCCAGGGACAAATGGGGAGCAAGACAGACCATTCCACCCATGGTTCCAGTGCAATTAAACAAAGCCTGAAAACCTCTGGCTGTAAAAACCTGTGGGGATTGCAGTGGCAGGAGAAACTCCCGGTCTCACAGGAGAGTTCATTGGAGGGCCCCACAGGGTTCTAGAATGTACACAAACCCACCCATCCTGCAATCAGCACCAGAAGGGCCCACTTTGCTTGTGGGTAGCAGGGAAAGTGACTGAAAGCCAGCCGAGAGCCAGCAAGCAGCACTGTTCCCACTCTGACCCATCTCCCACATACAGAGAAGTGGATTGCCCCACCAAGGCAAATACCTAAGGTTCTGTCCTGTACAACTTAACAGGTGCATGGAGACAAAGAAATATGGCTCAAATGAAAGAACAGATCAAAACTCCAGAAAAATAACTAAGTGACAAGGAGATAGCCAACCTATCAGAAGCAGAGTTAAAAACACTAATAAGCAGAATGCTCACAGAAATATATGGTTGCAAAATAAGGAAGAAATGAAGGCTATGCAAGGTGAAATAAAGGAAAACATACAGGGAACCAACAGTGAAGGGAAGGAAACCAAGACTCAAATCAATGATTTGGAGAAGGAAGAAATAAACATTCAACCACAACCGAATGAAGAAACAAGAATTAAAAAAAAAAAAGAGGAGAGGCTTAGAAATCTCTGGGACAACTTTAAAGAATGCAAGAAGAGGGGTGCTGGAAGGAAAAGGAGAAGAGCAAGAAACTGAAAACTTATTTGAAAAAATAATGAAGGAAAACTTCCCCAATCTGGTGAAGGAACTAGATAAGCAAGTCCAGGAAGCTCAGAGAGTCCCAAAGAAGTTGGACCCAAGGAAGAACACTCCAAGGCACATCATAATTACGTTACCCAAGATTAAAGAGAAGGAGAGAATCTTAAAAGCAGCAAGAAAAAAAGGAAACAGTTACCTACCGACAAAGGAGTTCGCCTAAGACTATCAGCTGATTTCTCAAAAGAAACCTTACAGGCAAGAAGGAGCTGGAAAGAAGTATTCCAAGTCATGAAATCCAAAGAGCTACAACCAAGATTACTCTCTCCAGCAAAGCTTTCATTTAGAATGGAGGGCAGATAAAGTGCTTCCTAGATAGGGTCAAGTTAAAGGAGTTCATCATCACCAAGCCCTTATTATATGAAATGTTAAAGGGACTTATGATAAAAAATATGAACAGTAAAATGACAACAGACTCACAACTATCAGCAACCAAAGCTAAAAATCAAAAAGAAAAAGAAACTTAGCAGACAAGTAGAATAGGAACAGAATCACAGAAATGAATATCACATGAAAAGTTACCAGCAGGGAGGGGAAGGTGGAGAATGGGAGCAAAGGTACAGGGGATAAGAAGCATATATGATAGGTACAAATAGACAAGAGGAGGTTAAGAATCGTATAGGAAATAGAGAGGCCAAAGAACTTATATGTATGACCCATGAACTTGAATTGGGGGGAATGCTGGTGGGAGGGGGGATGATGGGTGGAGAGGGATATAGTAGAGAAAAAAATGGTACAACTGTAATAGCATAATCAATAAAATATACTTAAAAAGGAGAAAAGTATAACTCAAAAATGACAAAAGAATTACTGAAGGTTTTCTTACCTCTGAACCGTAGTTACCAACTCCTTTTCTTTCTTTTTCTGGCATATTAACTGTGCCTCTTTCTCTTGGCACTGTTTTTTTATCTCTTCAAGCTTTTTTTCCATGTCTATCAAAGTCTCTTGTAAATTCTTATTTTTTTCTTCTAGAACCTGCAGCTAGTAAGAAATTTTTTTAAGTTCATAAAACATGAAATATTAGATGTGTTTCTACTAGAAATTATTACTGTGTTACCAGGGATTATTAATACAGTATAGTTAAAATCACACTTTCTTCATTTCATCTGCTTAATAACAGTTTATCTCCTCCTCTGCATAAAGAGAACCGGGAGAAAGGAAGTATGGAGAAGAGAAGAATGGAGCCAAAATTTTCTAGGAGACAAAGAGAGAAGGTGAATAATCTCAATTTGGGGATTTTTTTATTGTATTTTTAATTGTAGCAAAATATACGTAACAAAACATTTACCATCTTAACCATTTTTCAGTGTACATTTCAGCACTGTCACGTACATTCGCGTAGTGTGCAACTAACCATGAGAACTCTTTTCATCTTTTTGTTTTTTGGAAGTTAAAGCAGAAAGAGATGTCCCTATAGAACCCGATTCATTAAATATATCACACAGCATGGTGTACTTTTAGGATAATACACACACTGCATTTCCTTCAGTTTTATCTAAATATTATATAGCATATATATACTCATGAATTTAATCACTCCCCTGTTGTTAGAACCTCAAGTTGTCTCCAGGTTGTTTTTCTGTTTGTTTGTTTTAGGGGACCAGTTGCCACTAAAAATAACACAGCAGTAAACATCTTTGTGGCAATGAGATCTGGTCTTTTCTTTCTGTGCAAGAGAATTTTCCAAGTGAGACTGCTGAGTCAAAGAGAGTCTGTGTGTGTACGCGCGTATGTATACACTTTATTTTTGTGGGCACATCAGAGTTGCTTCCTCCCCCAACTTTGTCCACCTCCAGCCTGTCCTCACCCCCTTCCTTAAGGCCATGGCCACATTGTTAACCATGCCCATGGGTCACATATGTTCTCTAGCTAATCCCTTCACCTTCTTTCATCCAGTCCCCCCTCAACCCTGATAGCTGTCAGTCTGCTCAATGTATCGATGCCTTGTTTCTATTTTGCTCGTTAATTTTGTTCATTAGATGCCACATATAAGTGGGATCATATGGTATTTGTCTTTCTCTGACTGGCTTATTTCACTTAGCATAATAGTCTCCAGGTACATCCATGCTGTTGCAAAAGGTACAAAGAACTCTTTGCATCTTGCAAAGCTTTGCATCTTGCAAAGCAAATTTTATACCCATTAACAACTCCCCATCCACTTCTCTCCTCAACTCTGGAAACCACACTTTGACTTGCTGTCTCTCTGAAGTTAAAACTATTCCAGGGACCTCATTAAGTATTTATCTTTTTGTGACTGGCTTATTTCACTTAGGAAACTGTCCTCAAGTTCACTGATCTTGTAGAATGTGTCAGAATTTCCTTCTTTTTAAAGGCTGAATAGTATAAATACACCACATTTTTTTATCCATTCATACACTGGGGGACACTGGGTTGTCTCCACCTTTTGGCTATCGCAAATACTGTTAGGAGCACGTATTGTGTTCAAACATCTATTTGGGACCCTGCCTTCAATTCTTCCGGCTGTATACGCAGAAGTGGAGTTGATGGACTGTATGGTAATTATATCTTTAATTTTCTGATGAACTATCATTATTTCCCATAGTGGCTACACTATTTTACATTATGACCAACAGTGCATAAGGAATCTAACTCTCCACATTGTTGCTGCCAACACTTGTTACTTTCTTCTTTTTTGATATTAGCCCTATCCATGGGTTATGTAAGGTGGCATGAACCCATGTTTTAAAATCTATATTCCTTGTGTTCTTCCTCATGCAAACTCTTGTCTCCTTCTTCAGTTACCTTGCCTAGTTTCACAAATCGGGTTACTCTAAACAGAGAACATGTTGTAGGTCTAGAGTCAGCAGAATAATGACACTCCACGGATTAGACCAATGATTTCAACTGGGCGCAGTCTTTCCTCCCAGACAACATTCGACATTTAAAAATGTCTGCAGCCATTTTTGGCTTGGGGTGAAGGAAGGACAAGTGCTATGGACATCCAGTGGGCAGAGGCCGGAAATGCTCTTCGGCATCCTTTAACACACAGAACAGCATCCCCAAAATTATCCCCCCTCAAGTGTCAACAGTGCCACGGCTGAGACCCTATGATCAGAAAGACTTTGAAAAAAGACTGCAGAGTAAGTGGTTTATAGGTGAGGTGTGAAGAGGACAGGCCCCAGAATTGGTAGAAAGACTTTGGTTTGCGGTATCATTAAGAAAGAAAAATGGTCAGAAAAGAAGTCAGGAGTAAACAGTGATCACAGAATATAAGGAAGAATTCATGAGAAAATTAAGAAGCATGAAGAAAATGAATCAAATATCTGGAAAGACAGTCAAAAAAGGTCTTATTGAATCCTGAAGGTCAATAAGACCTTCAAAAAGGTCTTATTGAAGGTCCAATCTTATTGGATCCCAGAGACTGCTGGGAAAAGGTGGACTGCGGTGCACGCGCGTGTGTGTGGAGCAGGCGGGTCAGAGTGGTTCAGAAACCACCTTCCAGAGCAGAATGGTAAGTGAGAGAGTTAACACAGATTCACTGGGAGGGAAACATGAAAAACAAGATCTACTCATGCTTAGATGAACAGCTCCTAATTAAAGAATCCTAGAAATAGTAATTAAACAGATTTAACTCATAGTTAGACAAATGGAAAACTAAAATCATAAATTATAAAAATTATGGGATTTCTAACACTTTAACTGAAAACACGGTTTTCACACAGTTTAAAGAGCATTTTATTTCATGTTACCTGTAAACTCTGACTCTGTACATCATCTAGGGTTGGAAGATCAGCCAGATACTTTTCCAAGGTCTCGATTCTTCTCTGCTTTTCTTTGTTCTGTTCAGCTTCCTTCTGGCATTTCTTTTTCAGGCTACTGATATATCTATCTCTGGTTTTAAGCTATAAAAAAGATTATGCATCCTCAGTAGTTTTGTGTCATTAAAAAATAATGACAAAACAAACATTCTAATCTTAGGTATCACTGATTTCTCCAACAGTTCTACATTATAGTTAATACCACCAACTCAAGTAAGATTACCTTATTTCAATTTTAATCTTCACAGTTTTTCAAATTTTCCTATCATTGAAATGAAGCTTTTGAAATTTCTGTTTTCTTTTACAACTGACAGCATCCTATAAACTACAGTCAGCCAGGTAGCAGTGACGTATTACTGTATTTAATACAGTTTTTAATGCCTACCTATGTGCCAAATTGGGCAAGGCTATTCATATCTTGGGCATTCTAAAAGTGTTACGTCCATGTTGAAACTATGTGCTGCGTTTAAATATTATATTATAATCTGGAATCAAGAAAAGTTATTGGGTACTCAGCCAGACACAGAAACAGAACCATGGGGCATAATTTCAAAATCGGGGAAGCAAGTCATTCTCTTGATGAATGAGTCCAATTCTCATTTCATGCAAAGCTATATTGAAATGTTTTATGTGAATTAAGAAAGGAACACACCTACAAATAACTGAAGCTGTTCTCTTACTAATAAACTTGCAAAGGAATTGCACTCACCAAAATTATCAAATACTGAGGAACTGGTAAGGGGACTCGCCAGACCATTCCATACCTCGGTCAAGACTACTGTTTAAGCACTGCATCAAAATTAAGCTTGCAGTACATGTTCTAAAGCTGCATAAAACAAAGGTGTGCCTTATTACTGACATTATTTTCAGATCGATGAAATACATGATCCTAGTAAATCCCAATTTGTATAGGCAGACCTCAGATTTCATGTAGAAATTTTTTCACATTTGCAATGTGAAAATACTGCCTTTAAATTTCATCTTATATTCATAGCTCTTTCATGCTTCATATCAATTAAAAACTATACACACACACACATATATATAAATATACAGTTGCCTAAAAAGTGAACTCCAGATTCATAGTTACCATCAATTACCAGTCTTCCAACATTTAACATTCTTTTAGAAATTTACAGGGTTCTAAAATGTTTTTACAGTCTGTTCCCATATTCACCAGAGAAATAAATGCCAGTAATTAGTGTATAATGGAATAGTCCTTTCAAATTTTATTAAAGCTAACACTTGTCTATGATCTAGTTTCTTTCATGCTTTATCTAATTTCTTTCAGGTCCAATGTATAACAACTTTTATCAAAACAACTTCAACTGGAAAAATGAATCCCATCTCACTCATTCCATCAGTAATATCAAAATCTATTTATTACACTGGGTAAGTAGCAAAATGGGTAAAACAGACAAACCCTATTATTTGCTAGGGCTTTCTCAGGATTAAAGGCAAGTATGTTGGTATGACAATTTAACATGTGATCTGTTGGAACTCCCAGACTGTCGGCACTGGTGGTGACCTGAGGGACAACATAATACAATTCCCTTTTTGAATATGAGGCCTAGAGATCTTTAGTGACTTAATACTAGTCACAGAGACAGAGCTGGGATTTAAACATAGACTGTCTGAATGAACTTTCAAGCCAATGTTCTTTTGGTTCCATACTACTAATAATCAGATGCCCATCCATTCTCGAGGGGCCAGCAGTGCCTGGACTGCACATCAACAAAGCCTACTTTCGTCTTAGCAAATAACCCTGTAAGTTACAGAAATAAACATAACTAGCCTATCTTTTAAACTAAATGTTCCCTAATTCACACTTAATTGTTTAAGTGTCTTAAATGTGAGATATACTGATGTCCCCAAAAAGCAGCCCTGGAATAGGTCAGTCACTCGCCTTCTTTGCTATCGTGCCAAGCCTGCTGCTGCTGATCACAAATTCCTGCCAACACTCTCCTACCTGGTGCCGTCCCTGTTGTCTGCTGACATGGAGCTGAGAAGCTATAGCCACTGGGTCTTGGGGTTTTCAGCCGCGCTCAGTGTTGAGAAGCTATTTTTTTTGAACTTCAAAGGTTTGTGTTGTTTCAGATTAACAGAGGTTACTGAAGTCTCTAGTAATTACCGCCAGGTAAATGAGACATAACTAATAAAGTTTTCCTATTCTATTTGTAAAAAGTTAAAGTTTTTCCTTTCCAGAGAGTATTATGCAACACTAAGACCATTATTTAAAGGCAACAGGAGGGCCCTCTTTTAAAAGAGTTTAACAAACAAATTTTTTTCCTTTGTTTTAAATACAATACTTAGAACAAAAAAAAATTAGTGAGAAAGTTTTCCCTCTAAATTTTTTTATAAATCATTATTAGAACCAAAGCATCAGCTGTGGAGTTTAACTGTCTTGAATTTTATTCCTGGCTTTTAAACAATTTCAATCCATATGGACCTACACAGATTACTCAAATTATACAAATTACTCAAATACCACTGTATATATACAGTGGTATTTTTATCCCTCAAGAAAGTCCCTAGATTTTTCTAAGTAGGGTTACTCGAGTTACTACAAAACTAATCACCCCAATATAAATTTATAGCCTGGTATGATATCTGCCCTATAAATTTGTAGAGCAGATAACAAATAATTATACGCTGAAGACATGTTGATCTAATTTAATTTTATTAAAAATACCTACCTTTTCCTCCAGTTTCTTCTTCTCTTCACTGAACTGGCTTATTCTTTGTTTGAGAAACTGATTAAGCTGTAACACTTCCTTCTCAGTAGATGCAAGCTTTTGCTCAAGTTCCTCTTGCTGAGAACTGGGCACTGACTGATCTGAAAATGGAGTCTGGAGCGACGTGTTTTCATATTGTGGCTATTGGGAAAAAAACAGATAAGACTTTAAAAGTTTACTTGTCTTTCTCTCCCCATTTCCCCCCACTTTGCCCGCCTCCACCTACCCCCCAGCCCCTTTCCCTTTATCTTGGAGGGACTTTGCTTGAGATAATGGGCAAATGGTGCACTAAGAAGATAATGTTTGTATTAAATTGTACCCTTGAAATCTGTACCGCAATAACCTCAATTTACAATTTTTTAAAAAAGTTTTTGTCTTGCATGGGAAGAAATTGGAAGTAAGATAAAATACAAAGAGTACATACAGGCTGTAGCTACAAATAGAGCTTGACATAAATTCCAGCTCACCAGCAGTTTAATCAAGTATCACACAGGAAAAAAAACACAATGAAATTGTAAAAGTGCTAAGACAGCTGTATGTGCAGTAGCTATGGAACGGCTCTACGAAGCGCATGTATGTGCCTCTGTGTAACTTGAATGAAGCCTTGAAGAACTCAGACTGTCCCAAAGGCGAAGATGCAATTCGAAAACCATGTGAACAGCATTTATGATGTTCAGCGTATGTCAAGATGACAGATTAACTCAAATTAAAACTAGAGGCATAAAAGAAACCCTTATATAATCACCTATAGGATGCAATATGTTGGGACAACATGGCAGGCAAAGAAAAGCCACCTTAAGAACAAAGTGTCAGGAGGTACCAGGATAAGTGATGACAACGTTGGGAAAATGAGAGAAAAGGCCTGACTGGGGTGCTGGCTTTTGAGATAAAGTTGGAAAATGGGAAAGATTCTGGCAGGAATAAATAAAAGAAAAAAAGAACATTTTAAAAAGGCAAAACATGGAACATAGGCAGAGAGTACTCACATCCATTTAAAGTACAGGTGACAGGAGCAGGGAGTAGGAAGGAACATTTTAAAATCAAAGTGGATCATACAGTAGAATTGTAAGGTTCAAAGTTTAACCTTAATTCAAACAAAATGGAAAGCCAGTGATGGTTTCTGAAGAAGACAGTAACATGATTTCAGAAGACTGAACTAGGTTTTGTAAATTCCCTAGCTTTTTTGGGGTAACCTCCCGGCATTTTATAAATTTCCTGATATTTAACCTAGTGCAGAGACTCTCGATAACTTTGATTAAAAGGGAAGAATTTAAAAGATACCACACAACTGGAAGCAGGGAACAGGACAATACAGGATACACAATATCAGTTTTGGATATTTTGAAAGTGAGACTGGATATGAAAATACCATTTTAAGAAGTTACTCTAGGGGACTTCTGCCAAGATGGAGGTATAGGTGGAAACACTGTTCCTTCTCCCACAACCAAGTCTAAAAACAACAAAGTTTTAGCAACAAAAAACTCAGCCAAACCACAGAAAATTGAACTATACAGGAGTCTAACAACAACGAAACACTCAGCCAGACCAGTAAGAGGGGTGGAGCCAGCAGAGGAGTAGGTTGGGCAAAAAAGGTCCCCCACCCAGGCACATAGGCCCCCAAGGGCGGATTCCAGATGTGGGGGTAGCAACAGGCAGACCCAGTGAAGGAGCAAGGCGGCAGGCTGACCACGGCCACACATTTGCTCGCAGATAAACCAGAGAAGGAATGATCAATGAGACAGACTGCGCAGGCCCCAGCTGCGGGAAGTAGCAGAGGGGACCGCTATTGCTCCCTCTCTGACCCCGCCCCCACATACAGCATCACAAACGAGCGACCTGAGTAGCCCTGCCCTGGCGAACACCTAAGGCTCTGCTCCTCATACTTAACAGGCGCGAACAGATCAAAACATGGCTCAAGAACAACTCAGAGCCCCAGAGCCAATAAATCTAAGCAAACAAGAAACTGCCAACCTATCAGAGGCACAGTTCAAAACACTGGTGATCAGGATGCTCACAGAACTGGTTGATTTTAGTCACAAATAAGAGGAACATATGAAGGCTAAACTAATTGAAATGAAGGAAATTGCACAGGAAACCAATAGTGATGGAAAGGAAACTGGGACTCAAATCAAGGGAGCAGACCGGAAGGAAGAAAAAATGACCAAACAGAAAAGTATGAAGAAACAAGCATTCAAAAAAATGAGGAGAGGCTAAGGAACCTCCAGGACATCTTTAAACGTTCCAACATCGAATTATAGGGGTACCAGAAGGGGAAGAAAAACAGCAAGTGGAAATCTTATTTGAACAAATATTAAAAGAGAACTTCCCCAATCTGGCAAAGGCAATAGAATTCCAGAAAATCCAGGAAGCTCAGAGAGTCCCAAAGAAGTTGGACCCAAGGAGGAACACACCAAGGCACATCATAACTACAGTAGACAAGATTAAAATGAAGAAGAGAGTCCTAGAAGCAGCAAGAGATAAGGGGACCGTCACCTACAAAGGAGTTCCCATCAGACTGTCAGTGGATTTCTCAAAATAGACCTTACAGGCAAGAAGGGGCTGCAAAGAAGTATTCCAAGTCATGAAATCCAAAGACCTACAACCAAGATTGCTCTATCCAGCAAAGCTTTCATTTAGAATGGAAGGACAAATAAAGTGCTTCCCAGATAAGGTCAAGTTCAAGGAATTCATCATCACCAAGCCATTATTATATTAAATGTTAGAGGGACTTATCTAAGAAAAAGAAGATAAAAAATATGAACAGTGAAAGGACAGCAAAGTCACAGTTGTTAACAACTACATCTAAAACAAAAGCAACCTAAGAGGACAGCTAGATCAGGAGGAGAACCATAGAAATGAAGATCACAGGGAGGGTTAGCAACAGGGGAGTGGGAGGAGAAGGGGGGAGAAGGAACAGAATACAAGTAGCACAGACCGTAGATAGAAAATAGATAGGGGGAGGGTAAGAACAGTATGGGAAATATAGAATCTAAAGAACTTGAGACATGTGGTCATAAACTAAAGGGGGGGGGAATGGTGGGGGAGGGATGTGCAAGGTGGAGGGGAATGAAGGGGGGGAACAGAACAACTGTAATGGCATAATCAATAAAATATATTTTTTAAAAAAGAAGTTACTCTAACCTATTTAGTTGGGAAAAATGAGGAACTGACAAAACTCTGGAAGCAGAACTGAAAGAACTTAGAGAAAATTATTTTTTAAGAGGTGAAAGAATAAAAAACATTAAAAAAAAGGTTTGAGATTTTGAGTCTAAGGTTATATGACAACAGGTCTAAGCAGATGCACTTAATTACAACCACAGCTTATTGGCATTCAGATACCAGTTCAACATACAAGTACAGATAAGCAGGAGGCAGTTAGAGAAGTGGGCCCAGAACTCAGGAGAATGGCTAGGCTATGCTAGAAGACTGTAAGAAGGTAATACAGATAGTTTCCAACCAGGCATGTAATGAGCTTAGAAACTGCCACTTCATCCGTTTTACTAATAAGAGCTGAACTACATGAAAATTCTACAACTCTTCTTATATCTGTGAGAGAAGTGAGGTCATTGTCCCCAAAACTGGAGAAACAGATGAACAGATAGAATCACACTTGCTGGAACAGAATCTCCATGGGAACCAATGTTGGGGTAGGAAAACCAGAACTGAAAATGACAAATTGGTGAACTGCTGGCCACTCAGCAGGAACAAGTTCCCAGGGGGACCCAGTCGTGGAGGACCCTCAGCTTTTTTGAGTTTTACCTCCAGGAGCTCTAACAGGTCCTCACAGCAAACATCAGAGAAAAATCCCCTCATGCTTACAGCAGAAGGAGAGAACGGACCATTCAGAAATATGCCAGAACACTCTGTTCTTCTTAACAAGACCCAGAAAAACTACTGGGTTGCCCAAAAAGCCCATTATAATTTTTCCATAAAATAAAAGGCACATTCTTCATTTCCACCAATAACTGTATTGATTTGGGTATTTTGAGTACGTTGGCTATCTCTTGCTATTGGCTCCTAGTAGGTAGAGGCCCGGGGAACTGCTAAACATCTTCCAATGCATAAGACAGCCCCACAGCAAAGAATTATTTGGCCAAAATATCAATAGTATCAAGAAATTTTGCAAACCACTTTTGACACTTTTGATCAGTCACAGAACCTTCTTCATACACTTCACAAATCTTTTTTTGCATTGCAGTTGCATTTACCTTTCTTGAAATAATAAATCATAATCCACTGAAAATGTTACACATTTTCTTCTATCTTCAATATTAAAATGGCTGCACAAAAATTCACCAAGTTTGATAATTTTTTAAATGCATGCTGATATGACTACTATCACAATACAACCTAACAAAATTGTTTCGAATAAAGTTACAGACAACTAAGCACTACTTTAGCCATCATACAGAAAAAAACATAACAGACATTTTGGCCAACCCAGTACTTTAGCAGAGACTAACCTGTCTAAGAAGGTTAGCGAGATGGGAACTAACCTACCTAGAAAGAAAACACCTAACTCGAGCTACCTCTAGCCTTGCACATCACGTAGGGAAATGCCACCCTGTCCCACCTAAGGGTGGGAAAGAAAAAACTGAGAAGCACTATTGAAGTTCACAGACTGGGAGCGCAGGCCCACTAAAAGACTAAGACCTAATCCAAGACTACAGAATACTTTTCCTACAGCACCTTACCACTAATTACTGAAGGCCTACTTCCCACATTTCATTTTACCCAGTACATCAGTTCTACCTTATGAAATTTACAAAACATACTAAAAGAAAAAAAACAGTCCAGAGAGACCGAACAGCCTCAGAACCAGAGTCAGCTATGTCAAGAATGTTGGAATTATCAGAAGAGAGTTTTTTAAAACTATGGTGAATATCTTAAGCACTTTAATCTTACAGTAGATGAAATGCAGGAACGGGTGAATAATGTAAGCCCAGAGATGAAAATTCTAAAAAAGAATCAAAAATATGTTCTAGAGATCAAAAACACTGTAACAGAAATGAAGAATGTCTTTGATGGGTTCATCAAGGACCAACTACACACAGCTCAGGAAATAATCTCTGAGAGTGAGGACATCACAACAGAAACTCCCAGAATGAAAGAGCACAAAGAAAACAGGAAAACCTAGGACA